GACACAGAGAAGCATATATACACCCAACAGCTTTTATACAAGACGTCTTCAATTTGTTCACTCATCCTTAGTAGAATACAGCAACCAGATGTGAGTCTGGGGTAATTACATTAATATAATTATAATATATAAGTAAATATTCCATGTGCCATTTTTCGGCCATGGTTATAGAGTGGTTGATTAGTTCCGGAAGAACGCGATGAGTATATCGTTATCCCTATATACACATAACAAATTAAATGAGATATAAATTTTAGTTTCTATAGAGATGGTTGTCACGACAATTCCAAAACATTTATATTGGCAATGGAACTAATAACCAAAAATTTAACTGAGCAGCCCTTACTGTATTGTCTCGTGTGAGACAAAGCTGGTGACACAGTAGTTAGGAGAGTGGGTGGTTATGCAGCTTCGGTCAACGTTGCGTAATACTCGCTGATAATATCAACAAGCACGTACCACGCCAATTTAACAAGGCTCCAGTTCGGTTCACCTTCTAGTATTTATACGCTTTGCATTTCAGAAATCTTATGAGCAATTGATCCGTGCGGTTGGAGTGGATGGCATTTTGTCAACCTAGATTAGTCACTTCAGGCTTTTCATCTTTGCTGTTTTGAATCTCAGGACTTAAGCTGACGGTAAGCTGAAAAGCCGAGGGTTGAGTTTCAATCAATCTGCTTTCCGTTCTGTCCTTTTCGGTTTCGAAACCTGGCAACCCCACAGCTGATAAGCCTGGCAGACAATAAATATATGTAATATTTAAGTTGCAAAACTTAAATTGCAATAAAACTACGATATCTACTGTAAAATATTATGTTAAATATCTGTCTTGTGAAAAATAATCCCGGAATAATATACTACGGAAGGAACAGAATTAGACAATGGTCATTGTTTTTGGTAACCTAATTTGCAGACGTGTATAATGTGTTTCAACGCATCAAAGACCTAATTTTTACATTGTCCCGGAAACTTCCTACCGGTAATTAGTAATATTTAGGTTAGTAAGAATGAGTTGCCTACATCAACAACTCAGCGTGCATAGGTGTATTTGTTTGTTTGTTTGCGATTCATTCACTGCATAAACATAATACGACTCACTGACTGGTATACCATCAAAGACATCGTTGCATTTTTCTCCGTTGATTTTGATAAATACCATTACATTTGAATTCAAATTTAGTTAATTCAAAGTTATAGACAGATATAACAGTGACCTTATCGATATCATCTCTGAAAGCAAGTCGGTTTGATTGATCTTTACAATTATTTAACTCCCCTGAAACGACGGAACAAGATCAGTTCTCACTAAGCACACTTCATTCATGATTTTTTTTTCAAAAAAATTAAGATGGTCTTGCATCAACATGTAGGCTTTTACAAGACTTAAAATCAACTAAAGGATGCCGGGTCATAATTATTATTACAAATAGTGTAAAATAAGACTTTATTGTCCCGGTAACAGAAGATTGATTGTGATGATATAGTGGAAACACAGTTTTAATTAGACCTAATTCCAAGAACCACCACCGTGATCCCCGACACTGGAAGTTAATGATATATGGATTCTAAAGAACGTAAGCAGCAGACCCTCTGTGTTGTTTTGTCGTAAAGTTTGACTTTCAAACACAAAAAATAATGGTAAATTATTAATATTTACCAGGAGCAAAACACTCTTGAGAATATGAAAAGCGATACAAGCAGACGATGTTCAACGAGGATCTCTAGCCATGCTGATACTGCCTACCGGTAACGAGTGAGCAGAGCGAAATGATCACTCGACGTAGTCGCAAATGACGGTTACAGCGACTGTAAAAAAAAAAAAAAAAACTGCGCGGTGTTCACAATAGTGCAACACTATCTTTGTTTACAATAAAATCATTCATGACATTCCTATGAATAGTGGGCAAGGGGTCCATTTTGAAATTTTCAGAAATAAAAGTTGTTGTATTTTTGATGTGTTGATATAATGTGTGATATATGGCAATGATAGATGTATTTTACCATGATTTTGAACTAGTGTATATGTGTTTGTTTTATGTTCAGTTGACCATAATCTGTGTATTCACTCTTTGATTTCATGTCAAATAAATTATACCACATTATACTAATTTTTATATAAACCAGAAGCAACGTTGTACTATTAAAAACATCGAGTACACTGCTTATCGTGGAAAAAATCATATTATAATTTCGCACTCACTGTAACCACCATTGGTGACTTCGTCGCTCAGTCGTTTCGCTCCGTTCAGGTGTTACCGGGGGTGGTGGTGGAAGGAAATGGAAATGCAACGAGATAAACGAAAAGCAGACACGTATTCCCGTTACCAAATGTTTCCCTAAGGTATACGTTACACCTGCCTGCTGTTTTTAACAGAAACTATTTAATCGCGAATCAGCCTGATATATAATATCATGTACCGCGTGTAGAATGTGTTCACTGTTTTCAAATTTACTCTGTCATGTAGTGAGTTTGTCGTCTGTAATCTTATATTTTTTTTGTCTTCCGCGACCTGTATATTAACCACACTGTTTAGAATTGGGCATTGCCTTATTTCAACTTTGACCTTAATTATTGATGCATAAACGTAACTCAAAGAGGATATTATGGATATGTCACATCAAATTAGAATAGTTGTTCAAGTAAAGCGTGGACTGTAATGTCTTAATGAATAATGCACTGCTTACGTGAATAAACATTAAATTATAAAGGACGACGCGTCACGTGGTCTCATCAATTAGGCACACAGTGAATCCTATCATGTTTCAAACCCGGTGACGTGATCTAATTAATCGCGCAACAAACTATTATGGAAATATATCATGGATGCCTTCTTGGATGTACCAAATTAAACAATGATGTTATACTTAAAAATTTTACCTAAATTTAATTACAACAAACTTAAATGTTGTGAAATAAAATTTATCATTTTTTTTACAGATAAATAAAATGTCAAGTGCAATTTTATAATCGTGATAATTAATTAGCATAATTAAATAAACATTAAAGAGCATAAATATATATAATTTGTTATAATTCATTTACCGAGGTCATGTGTCAAGTTCAAGATCAATTCATTACCAGCTTGCATCGTTTTCAGAATAATCTAAAAGAGCACGGTCCAGAGATTAATTCTGCATTTATAATCCGTGACAGGAAATTCAGAAACGAAAATCAAACCATGCCGATACTACACATTTTTCCAACACGGCGGATGCTAATCTTCTATTTCGCTGAAAGCATTGCAATTTTATCGGCGACTTTAATCCGTCTTTCCAAAACCATTAGGTACATGGTGATTAGGTTTAGAGCGAGCATCTCGAATTTAGAAATGTAATTGTTGGAATATAGTATGTGTGTACTACGATTTTATTATGGCAAACATTTTCCCGCGGGTTTAAATCCCCGTCAAAATATTTTTTTTTGTATTTTGTCTGCTTGTATACATTATTAATAGATAATGGTATTATTAATAGGTAACAATTCGTATTGTAAGTGTTTTGGATGCGTCGTGGCAGACGTTATGTAATTTACGTTAAGATAATAATAGAATATAAATATAATCTTGGTGATCACATTAGATTTGATGAGATAATTATAAACGTCATATGTTGTAGCTTATATAGTAAGTTCGGATCAAAACAAATACAAATGTCGCAGAGAATTGCTTTAAGGACATTTACTCACGCAAAATATTGTTAGTGATCTTACTATCGGATCACTCATGTAAAGGCGTGATTATTATTACTCTTCCGTTCTATTTTCGTTTGCAATTGCGAGTTTCTTAGTTTTAAGACATCAATCTAGTATATGCAGTAAGGTTAACATGTAATCCGTTTTTGGGTAGTCCGTCAAAAAAGCCGATGATACCATTTGTTATATCTATTATTGAAACGAAAGAGTGAAGAGGACAATATCCAGAGGGCGTTGTATTTCATAAGCATTATTCAATACTGTAAAATGGTTAATTATTCACTGGGTTTTAATTTGGCTTATTTCGCTGACTGGATAATGCGCTAAATTAAAACCCAGTAAATATGTAAAATTTAGCATAAAACACATTATCTAGATGATAAAACCGTGAATTTAAAACCCACTGAATATGCCTGAAATGGTAAATCAGTGAAATTTAAACCCAGTGAAAATTAGTCATTTTACAGTATATTGTTTTTTTTAATGACTTTTGTTTTGATTTTATAGATTGAAAATTGATATTTTGCATATAAATAATCCCATAACATGGCGTAGGGTAAAAGATATATTGCAAGAAATGTTTCCAATCGGTGATTTGGCGTTACACGTCAAATTTTAAATTCCAGAAACGTTCAGAATGTATTATAGTATGCTGCTTCGTAATCAATACGTGACTCACTTCTTGTTAAACTAAAACGGGTAGAGGTACATTGTTGGAACTGTAGTTTCATGTCGCCTACAGAGGGAAAGGAGAGAAAAAGAAAAGTTATATTCGATATAGAAATACGAGATGAGAAAAAAGTGTGAAGATTTATAAATTTACAAAATTAAATTCAATCTATTCAGATATCTCAATATTATTAATTTAAACTAGATGCCTTCTAGGAAACGTGTGCAACGCTGCCTACGTTTGGAAATCCGTCCCTGCACTCAACGTACCCCCGGTATTATTGATCCCGACGCATGTATAAGGCGCCAATTGCATAGTAGGCATAGCCGACGGTCGACCCGTAGTTGTGCGACGCGGCGACGACATTCTTGAGGGCGATTGTCACGATTTTATTCTGGAGTGATTTTTTTTATCATTATAAAAATCCAGTAGAGAAAATATTCCATATTACACGGTTTAATAGAACACGTATTCGTACGTGCAGATTATAGAATTCGACTAACAGTACTGTATCAATTTGTATGACCATTTCATCTGCTTTACGTAGATAAAACTACAACACGCGCACGCATGCGTGGCTTCCCATCAATTTCCCTCGAACGGTGGACGTATGTTTACGGGAAGCTCATTTGATATACACGACGGCACACTCCGCACTGGAAGAGATGCACTCTGCGCACACCAAGAAAACCATGAGGGGCATCGCTTGACGTCTGTGAGAGCAGTGTATTCGGCACTACGACGCTGCTATTTTAGTACCTTGTGAATTGACGTATCAGCCGCATATGGAGCAGTATACCACACGTGTGTATCTTTCGCATCATGGTAGCCATTCGGCGTCGCGGAAGATCCCCAAATTGACTAAAGTGAGTGCGTTTGCAGGGGACAGTATACCGGAGAATGAGTCGCAAATGTACAACAAATCTCTTGTAACTGACGAACAGGACACCCGTGTGGATACGTCTGCAGAAGTCGACAGACAACGTAACGAAAGCGTGAGTAGCTATACCGATTACAATTCCGGATTATATGCATCCATGCGACTAGAAAAAAGAACAATATTACATTATTTTAGTGTTATTTGTGTTTAATGTGAAAAGTAAATTTGAGAAACGAGGGCAGTATTTGTTTAGTAGCTTTAGCCTTGGGATTTCTTCATAAGTGTCACGCTGTTTCTAGCGTTCTATTGCAAGAAGCACATTTAAGTAAACACATCTTTCAGCAATTAACTATACAATCGATGTTTGCCGACGTGATCTCAATCATCGTGACCGGGATTACCGTCCAAGGATGCCCCTGGGCGTTCAATCTACTATGCGAATACACTTCCCATTAATCCCAGAAGGGGAAATATTAAATGGGAAACAGTGGGAATTTGTTGTTTCTAGGCTAGTGCGTTTTGTGAAAGCCGTTGTGCCATACAGCGATCATGAGAGAACCGCGATTTATTACCACTCCACTATTTCAATTATGCGTAACAAACATGACCGATTTATATCGCTAGTTGCGCAATGCCGAATGCTCTAGACTTCAGAAGCATTCATTAGCGACGTTAAGAACTTCGAGATAACTATCTTAACCTTAAAGTCCGCGTGTACAGCAGCTTTAACACCACGAGAAGAGATTCTACTCTGCGATAAGATGATTAGTACATAGCCATTAATATTGGTTTATGTACCTCGTTACCCTGGGACATATCGTGATTAGTTGAAAACAAGATAGGTTTTATTGTCAATCAGCGCGGCCTTAGCGAAGTGCGCTGTGGTGCTTTATAGAAGGCCATGCCGCGGCTGGAGTGACATACATCAAAAACTCGCGGATGGTTAGATCTCGGATTGAACAAAAGATTGTTTCAGTATGTTAAAGGTAGCCACGGGTGTATATGTGTCTTTTTGCTATGAACGTTCTTTAATTCAATTTAACATTTTCTAAAACGTCCAATTTAGTCCAATTTTTAAAAAAGTTGGCATTTTACGACAATATGACAACGTATTAAATATAATCGGATATAATATGGCGCCAAATCATATCATGAGCATACTCTCCAGTACCACACTGTCATGGAATGCTGATTTTCCTATGGAATAACTGTACTGGCTTGAAAAAAAAATAATAAGTTGAATTAGAACACGTTTACATTAAATTTGAGTGACAGCGTTCTACCAATAGTCATCATGGTCGAACAAGCAACGTCAGTATGACTATGTCTTCGAAAGACATATAATGTGAAATGTGTGTTCAAAAATCACGTGACCTTTATTGCGTTCAGAGAATGAAAAGATATATATATATATATATATATATATATATATATATACAAATCAAATGTCAGATCCATTATAACGCACTTCCTGAAATTACCTTTAACAACCCAATTAACGTGAGCGATATTTCACGCTAATTGTTGACAAAACGATTCCATCGAATCCAGATTGTTTAACACCGTGTCTACACAATGAGAAGGCGTGATATTATAAACGCCGTGATGATATTTCTAAACAATTAATAATTAAGGATTGTTATGCGGTGACCCTTTTCTATTTTGGAGGACAGCGTTTCTATGTATTCAACTGCACTTCCTATGAACCCACTAATTCCGCTATCATGGTGGGGGTCAATCTTATTAACTGAGCTGCAACATTAGAAGGGAGCACAGTGACTCACTTAATTACCCATTCATTAATACACATGTATGGCTTTTTGAAGCATGCCAATGACCGATTCGTTGTATGAATGTTTGTTAGTTATAATACTCATTAGGGAGATGCATAGATAATAAATGGCTTGCCTGGACTCGCATGTTGCCAATTAGGTCTGTATGGCCGAGCGAACAATTAATTGACTTCATGATTAGTATAAACCTAATAATACACCGGAACACGATATCGTATGAACATCGATGTTTTTGTTATAACATGCAGTGAACTATTGATACTCAGTCATAATCCGTTTTGTGAAGCCATAATTTTAAGAACACATAGTAGTATTGACAATGTACAGACTCACGACACATACATACACATAGAATGAGAATAGAGCATATCCAAATTGTTTTCGAACAGTGTCAGCACAATCATCAAGCTCAACATGCGTCATGTAATAATCACAAGTAGTGAGTTATAATATGAGGTTATTACGAGGATATCTCAAAGTATGCACAGAGGCAGTACAGCGGGAGTATCGACCGACGCAGTTAGATAAACTCTGTAAGGGAAACATATACTTTGTTCATTCAGTAACAAGTTTTGGCAACGTATGAATGTTTCGAGTTTAGAAGAGAGTGCACTTTAACATTTCATCCGTCTCTGTTACACAGTAAAACAGTAATGCTACTTTTTGATTCTGAGTTGAAGTACAAACCAAATTACTGCCAATTATGTAGTTTACTAAATCTTTAATTCGACATCAAGTGAAAGTATGTCATCTATGCATTTGAATGTGAAATTTAAAAGATGTTGTTATTTTGTGGGTTTTTTTGTTTTTGAATAAATTCTGTTTCACGAGACTGTAGAAATAAACTAGTTAATCAAATTCCATATAAGGTAACAAGTTCAACCGCATATAATTATGCAAGAGTGAATTTGATGTTCATCATTATGTATTTACCTTCGAAGTAATTTACATGGTTGAGGACCGATAAAACATAACATTTTAATCGTATGCCAAAGACAACGTGCATCAGTATCCCACTATGTACAACGCTATTAGTCCAATGGCAAATGTATTAACATACTGTCTGTGGAAATGCAGTGTTTATTTTCGTCAATATACATACAATCTAATGGTAATCGAAACATATGAACATAAAACACCAAGTATTTTTTATTGCCGTTTTTACTAATTGTAAAATATAATTGACAAAATGATATATGATGTTTTAGTAGGTATAACGTCAAACTACTTAAATTACTCACAAGTACGCAGCAATGCTTGCTCCCTATGCTTTCATTATGGAAAGCCCTACGGGACCTTGCTGCGTCATTTTAAATTGCATGGTATAAAACTTACAGCACCACAATCCTGCTGCTGCTTCTACGAAAGTGTGATTCCCGATTGTCTACGTTTACCAATTGTAGTAGTAGCAATCAGTGCAAAACTTATGTCAATAATATTTCATGTATTATACACAGCTGGAATGATGCGAAGCTGCTTGCCGTTAACGCAAATTTGAATTACGTTTTACGTGTTAAATTAATTAATTAATTTATTTTATTTAATTGCTTGTCTGGCCTACAATTACACGTCTTGGTAGATAGTTTGTAGTATAACTTGCTCTTAACTAATTTCTCATATTGTACAATACAACTTGACATAACATCTTGAAATAATATATTACAAATTATGGAAATATTAGATACAAAGTTTGTGCATGTGAAATATTTTTTCCAAGAACTCCGGTTACAAATTCGTATGTTTTCTATGGAGAGATTGCATAAAGTAACCACTAAAACAATCCCCTGCAGAAAATCCCCTTTAGTATTTATTGTTTTGTTCCGAATAACTCTTTTGTGTAAGAATGTTTTGTGACCATCATAACAGATAATAACCGTGCGTAAATTACAATTTCCCTAAAATCGAAGATCAATTTATTTAGAAAATTGGAGACGGGGAATTAAAAGGAAGAAATAAGGATTGACATGCTATTTCTGTCGAACACTAAAATTTAAGTTTTACAACAGCAGTTCATAGGGATTGTGACGGTTTAGTACAGATATTTTGTAAAATCAGTGTCATCAAAATCTGCTTCTATAATTTGATATAATTACTTAAATGGATGTAGATTTTGACAGGAACCAGCGATATGAAATATATTTTAACAAGTATCAAAGATAAGCCAAACCAAACAGGTTCACCTAAATATATTGAATGACCAAAGTATTTTTCTATTTGACTAGAAATACATCAATTCACCTGTAGCACATAGCCTATCAATCTCATGCCTGGATTAGTTTATCAATTGATTATAGCCTAATCATCCTATGGTTGCAAGTCAGTTTGTAAATGATGTAGATGCTAGACACATGACGCTCACATCAGTTATCCAGTTTACCATTGACATGATAGATTTTAACGAAGACACTCTCGATGAAAGCACATTTAACAGCCACAGCTATATGACCATGAACAACTGGAGAGATGCACAAGTATATTTTTTCTGATAAACGATCAAGTACAACAATGATCATCAACTAATGCTTTGCCCAATTTCTTCGCAATCTATGCTGGGCACTCATCCAGCATCGCAAGTTGTCAACACCAAGAATTGGTAGTCGTACATTCTTCGGCCATTCATACCTGCACCATTCATTCACACGAGGGTAATTATTTTGTCGAAATTGAGACAAAGAAAGTTATGCATGCCAAGCTGTACAAAATTGTAAATGAATGCATGACAAACGACATGACAAATGTATGGTCACCAATGAAAAACAATCTGGAATTATGCAGCTTCATGTAGTATCAATATGAAGAATTATTTGAGCTCACAAGAGGTTAACCCTAAATTCTATGTATTCCATGCAGTGGTCCATAGTGCAAGAAAAATTTATTCCCAATCATTGGTCATTAATGTATTTGTTTTAGCACTTTGGCGACTTTTAATTATTTCCCAAAAGATAGAATTCACTGCAGAAACTAGTTCACCATCTTGTACTATACAAGCGTTAGCCAACACGGAAAGCCGAATCAGATAGATTGCCATGAGAGCATGCACTCACTCTGGTCACAAGCTGATCAAACTGGGCGCTTTGCCTGTGAAGACAACATTACAGTTTGGGATTCAATCATGGGGACTTGTGCACAGATGAGATGAAACCATTTGTATGTTCATACATTTGACAGTAACACATAGAATAGAAGATGTCCCCCCCAAAAAAAAAAATAAAAAACATGTAGAAGCAGACATACATTCGAGTGTTCGGGTGAAAACAATCAGGCAATGATGTTACTGCAAATCCTCATCTGGACATGGATGAGTATAGGAAGACGAGCGTCTTGTTCCTATTACTGCATCACTACATCGAACACCTGATGCATCCATGCTTCCGTGACTCAATTGTGAGTCTCATATTGTACATAATTTGAACTGTTCTGAGATGTGTGTATGTGGGGAGTCGAGTAGGTCAGTGTATATGTTGGATTTACTAGCTATAGACTGGCAGTTTGATAATTTATTGTTATATTATTATCACGTACTTCATGGATGATTACATTCGTTTACCAATTTATATTGCAGGTAGTGAAAGCTCCCAAAGGCATAACAACCTTTCATGATATCCAACCATAACGCGTACGCGTAAATGCTAAAACTCTGACACAAACAAATTACGGTTCACGATATTACGCAAAATAGAGGGTCAGTACGTCGTGTCTGTATATCGAGGATATGACAGAGTACATGATATATGCAGTGAAACAAAACAAGTAAGATTCAGACTACTGTTACAAAGCTCAATCAGAAAATGTATTCAGAGCAACAGACTGCGGTTCTAAAATATACAAAATGAATTGAATAGAAGAAAAACTGTATTTGCGTAACATATTAAAATCGCAATATAAATTATTGGCATAATTTAAAGCATAAAGATATAAACGAGCACGATGAAATTTGAACTCACAATCAGGGCATGTCACTGTCAGTGGACACGTACCTTACTAGGCAATAACATTAAACATAGGTTTCTGTCAACATGTATAGACATTTGTAAAATTGTTAATAATATATATATATATATATTATAAAGATAAATAACAGAATGCAAACTACGACCATCACCTGTGAACCATTCTCACAAGCCAAGTCACACAAACCATATCCCGTGCTTCTAAATACGCAGCTGAAAACATGGACAGAAAATGTGTAGCAAATGACGTAAAATACATTCAGAGAAATAACAAATAGGACGTATAACCAAATTTTGTAAGCAGCAGTAATGAAAACATTCATATTTTTAAACGTGTCAACACTCAACTGATTGGATATTAACAACAAAACAATTTAATAATAAATTTCAACTTGGAAATAAACATTTTGTAACTTGTTTAGGATCATATTTCCAGACCACATGACGTGAATAGTGTTGACATATCTAAACTAAATTAGGCGATCCGGACCAACATTCCAAAAATCGTTCTGTGATGGTAGAATAATTCGTTACTTGTGTTATATTTCAGACAACTCAGTTGAACATTTGACTGAGCCAGCAATAATATGTAGCGTTTTATTTTATCATTGGTATGTAATACAATTCATGAGAATAAAACTATTAATTTATTATATATTAATTATTCTATAAATCTTTCACATTTAAAAAAATGTGATTTAGATTTCATAAATGCTTGAGGGATAATACGCGGATATTATAATATTTATCAAAACGTGATTATTGGCGAATGTTATTGGAATGCTGATTATTTTATAACACGCTTTAAATAATAATTAATTGTTTCGGCACCAGCTGTTTAATATCAACGTTCAGGGAGGAAAACAATTACAGTTTAAATAATGTGGAAAAAATTGAAGTAATCAGTAATGTGTGTAGTAATGTAAAAATGTAAAAGAGTTGTTCAATGAAGTCGAATAATTCCGCGGCTACCATGCCACTCTGCTCGTGGGGGAGTTTTCTAAATATCACATGGTATCTACTACACGTCTTATTTTGCGACTTGCTTGTTCTGATAGTAGGAGTTATGGTTAGTGTTGAGTAAAAATCGATACTCCTCGGGGAGTTTATAAATTACGTATAATGACGTTAAACGAGTGTCATGTAAAAATCAATTTCAGATCAAATGTAATCTTTATAAATAGGATAACGCATCTAGAAGTTCCGACTTGAAACAGTAGCCAGTAGCCTCTGTAACAGTCAGTTGCCTTGTGTGCATATTAATTATTTTGCCTCATACATTGCTCTTTCTCTGGTGTTGCCTAATGAATCGTCTCGTGTAAAACGGCATATATAACGCGTAAAAGATAAGGTCTAGACTATTTAGTATAAGGCAATTTGAGACATCATTTATAATAACACAAAAGGTGAAATACAATGTGTCATTATAAGCTGTTCTACAACGTTGTTCATCTATCGAATCTATCAGACACCGGAAGTCTGTGTCATGGTTACACACATATTCACGACATCAAAAATTAGATTATTATATGTACCCCAGCTCCATTTATCAGCTACACGGGGAATTCATCTCATCATTTTTGAAAACTAACTTCCAGAATTATTTCACTAACTCTGTGTTTCGTGTTGTGTTACAGGCCAAGAGGACGAACAGCCATAGGTAACACACACACACTCTCTCTCTCTTTTTGTTCATGTATATGTGTATATACATGACTGGCGTAATTCTATTTGGCTGCCTCCGGTTCGTATTAAACCAGAGATCAGGAAACATAACTTCCCTCCTGAGGCCCACTTCAAAACAAAACAAAAACATTTTACTGAAAGTGTTATCTCGTGTTACTTACTGATCTGGGTCTCTTGAGCATCCCCCTTTGCTCTTTACAATTTTTTCCTAAATGGTGTTTTTGTAAAAACTGATTTACTGTCTGTCGGACTTTGTTTAAAGCCACTGTAAATCTTGCCTCTCATTGGTCACATGCAAATGAAATTACCGATTCCGAGCACGCTGCTCTCGTTGAGTTCGGCACTTGACCGCCGATAAGCCTCGTGTTTCCAATACAATTACTAAAGCTTGCTCGTATGTAATTCCTACTCCATGGACAAAAAACATAGCTCTGAGTGCCAGTTCAAGAAGAGAACACTATCCAACGGCCTGCATGACTCCTCGACGAGCGATGAATGCGACTACGACGCATGTGCAGACGACGAACGCGAACACCCTAACGAAGACCAAGGCGTACACAGAATGGATCATGACGAAACTCGCGGTGCTATAAAAGATGATCAACCGGACAAGAGGAAAGATGGACAGTTGGAAATTGTGAACCGAGATGAATTACTTCCTCCGTCTATTTCGGAAGAAGACACAAGCTTTGACGAGCCACGTAGTATAGAGTTGGAAGACGAATTGCCAGGATCGAAGGTATGCACATGTACGTGTGTTTTCAAATTGCCAAGAAAATACTTGTTTAGTATAATGATAATCGAGGGTTCTTCATAAAGTCAAAAACATGAATGTTATTTTGATTGAGGAGTGTTTCCACACATAGTATTAGCTTCTATTGCCTGGCAACAAATTAGCAAGCTGACATTTCTTACTAAATTTCATATATCACAACACTCTTTCTGTATTGTCTCCGCCTCAGCCTTCAGAAGATTTACAGAAAAGTGACTTTGTGTTGGATCCGGATGGCGACGGGTCATATTATTGGATGGTGAGTATATGCCGCATCGTCAAATGAAATCTAGGTAGATATTCCTCCATGCCGTCGAATCACAGCGCAACAATTACGTGTAACTAGTTTCGTGATCTGCATATACATTTCTTCCGCAGTAGGAGGTGTATTTCAGATTTCACGTTCAAAGTGTGAATGACATATACAATCGCGCGAGCTGCTGTTGTTGCGTTGTATACACAAACTGCAACCATCGCCATACAAACGAAACTAACAGCAAATGAATGCGTGTGGAGAAGCTTTATTGAATGTCAATGGAGTCCGTAGAGTGTAATTTGATTCAAGAATAATATTTTTTTGAGATCCTGTAGTTAACTCCCGGAGTTGCTAATGTGAGAATTGTCCCATTCAACCAAAGGCAAATTGTTGCAAATTGGGGCCATCGCAGCATGACGCCAGATGTGCTACCTAGTTGTGTTGCGTATATACACAATAGTGATGGGTTATCGATGGCAAATAATGTAAAGAAAGCCGCCACAGAAAGTGTCAATTTTAGATTAGCTTCTAAGTTGTTCTGATTGTGTGACCGCATATTCACGAATTATAATCGGAAGAGAAATATTTTTATTTGCGTATCACCACGTAACTTTTACTTTTTTTTCACGTGTTGTGGTTCTACAGGGTGTTGTGACATTGGCTGTCATATATAATTACTGGGTGGTCATTCTGAGGATCGCATTCTCGGAGATGAGAGATGAGGTAGGTAATGGATTCAGTAGTAGTCAGTAATATGTTATATTTCAGTGGAAGCTAGAATACCTTAATTTAATTTGTCTTGAAGGCAGAAGTAGAGAAGGGTTCTATGGAAACAGAAGTTGGTACGTTAAAGAATTTGTGGCTGAAAATAAAAATGATATGTCATTAAAAAAAACATTTGGGCTACTAGGCATTTTTAAAAAAAAATACAAATCTTTATTTCTATGATAATAAATTGTGTCATACTTCTTATTTTATGTCGATGATATGAAATGAAAAAGACATATTATTATAATGTTAAATTAGTCAGTGTGCTATTACTTCTATTATATATATACAACGGAAAGTTTTCCACCCATAATGCATTGTGCGTATGTGAAGTAATACGTTCAGTACTGTAAAATGTTGAATGTGGATTGAAAACCTTAAGTCAGTCACGATAGTTCATCCGTACATCATTGTATCTTCTTGCACGTACGTTTCTTTGGAGAGACATTCACAACTATTCTCGCATTCATGTGCGTGTGTCTTATTTGATTTCGGTAAAATGGTGGCGGAGAATAGTGAAATATCAAATACAAAAATTCGATGCACATCAACGAGCATAATATATATAATAATCACTAGACTGGTTCTTTTTGAAATCAATGCGCGATCAGTTGTTGACATCGCCAGAGGAGTATATCCAGAGTGCACTCACTCAATTGTAACAGTCTAGCAATATGTATGTGATTTCTTAGTATGCTTTGATTTCATTCAAATTCATTCAAACAATCCGAATGAGATTCTAGGGACAATTGAGTAGTAGCAACCCGCCGATGTATGTATGTATGTATGTATGAGAAGACCTTTTCACTATAATTCCACTGCCGTATCGTGCATGCTTCAATCTAACCAAGCTCTAGTTTCGGGAACAATAACTAAAATCCAATTATGATTTTGCCAAAGAATGTGCGAGTAATCTTTATTCTGTTGTTAAACCTTAACATTAATATTTGATTCAGCGATTTACCTTTTTTCTGGTTTTGTACTGGATTTGGTTCATTTTGAGTCAATATGGTACGGCGTTCACTTGGGAAACTATAGTAAAAATGTCACGTTTGAAACACTCCAGCTTAGACCAGTTACAACGAAGCTACACGCTAAATGGAATTTAATGAACTCGATTTCGTCGATCGGAGCACTATAAAATAGACTTGTCAAATCATATAGCGATTCAATGGGTGACGGCGATAAGTGAGCTGTAGCGTATCGTTATGAAGTCACAAATTAAGGATGCCGTGGTTCGTTATATTAAAACCCTCATTTTATAATGATGAAAGCATTTGAGTAGATACATCGTGATATATATAATAAATAAACATATACACTAAATAAGTGTACTTAAAACAATACTAAGCATATATACGTAAATATTTTCTGATCAAGAGTTCAACATGCCATTATGCAATTATAATTAAATGTTCCAAATTAAGACTGCATGAAATATTACTATTATTTTAAAATAGCTAGCTACTGTAACATGAATCCTGCTTCGATATTTAACATTTATTAATAAATCGAGTAGAGATGTGTGTATTACAGAAATAGTTTTTTTATTACTTACCATACTTACTTACCAGGATCTGGATTCACGCTTAAAAGAAATATAAGCAAATATATATATATATATATATATATGCACCCAGTTACGACAACCAGTATTTATATGTATTTTAATGTATTTGCATATTTGTTCTTTGTACTATAATCAATGTAAAAAGTACCTGGAGAAATTAAAGTATATATATATATATTAAGAGTTGATTTTAATGATTGACAAAAAAAACTATACACATGACTAAATCTCAAAATAAAGTGGAAATAACATAGACTATATACCCCAACCCATTAACAAACTAAACAAGTACTAGATAATCAAATCAGTATGTGAAGGATATATAAACTCCATGGTATACATAATGTGATGTCTGGTCTTTCGAAAAGAGTGAGCACATGTATCACTCGTTTTTATATCATTCTGAATTTTAACCGATCAGTACACCACAGTACGTAGTCAAACGACAAACGATCCACAAAATACACGTCAAATTACAATCGACTGACACACAATGCACAGGCACGAATCAACTGACAAGTACTTCTTCACAGGACGTGGAATCAGTAAGAGGAAAGCTTCTGGACCTCATGGTAAACATGAAATGTCCAGTGTTTGGAAAAGAAAGCGCATTCCGCTCCACATGTTACAATACAATATGTCAGGTAGTCTCAGATCTCAGCCAAAATACACGTGTGTTATGAAGCCATATGTACTTATGTTGCATCATTGTAATCAACCTCGCATCCTATCCATGTCTACATACCTTTTCTCATGGGTTGTATAAACACAATGCATGCATTCACAATGCATTCCAGAACCATAAATATAGAAATGGAATTGAATACACAATCGCAAATTACGATTCCTGTGTCATATTTCTTGCGTCTGAATGCATAGAAACGGATACATTTCAAATCTCCGAAAATATGATGAAAAATTGAAAATTACTACGATTATTTAACAAATCTAATATTTTAGAATGAATTATTATATATCTTCTATGTCCAACACCCAATGGAATATACTTGATATACACATGATATTGGAGACATACATTGTTATGATCAGCACTGGGAAATGAATTAGTGATTTCATTGTTCCCTCTCATAAGATGCTTTCAATGGATTATTTTTTTTTAATAATCATTATTATAATATTGTATAACACAATTGCATTGTTGTTGTTTTTTTCCAGATAGGACATACAGCAATTTTTATGTACATGGATATCTTATGTGATACAATTTATATTTCTGATATAATTGTTCAAGTGAGGACGGCTTACCTCGAACACGGGATTTTCGTAAGTTCGTCGTTTCAATATTTTCTGATACAAAAATATGTGCGATGATGCCAGGGATGGTATGGTTATGTTAGTGAGTCAGTTTATTAATTAAATAAATATACACCAGAAAATACGCATATCCGTCCCCAAAGAAAAAAAACTCCACATTGTAGCATGCATTAATTTGGCCATCCGACAATCCTTTCACTTATGACCCTGTCCAAATGGCCGCACGCAGCCATTTAACCATCCGGCAAACGCTCTCATCTATACTATCCACATGACAGCACTTAGACATTTGGACCTTCAAACAACTGTCCTCACCTATTCTGTCTAAATGAACGCACACAATAACCACCCGAGAATCCCTTTCACCTACCCTGTATATGTGGAAGCGTGCACCCATTTGGCCATCTTGGAACCCTTCTCAACTATACTCTCAACATGGTAGTATGCAGCCACATGTGTATTTTACAACCCTTCTCACCGATCCTGTATATATGACAGAACGCAGCCATTCGATACCCTTAACATCTATCCTGTCTACATGGTAGCAAGCGGTCATTTATCCCTCATAAATGCCTATTATAATTTCACATATGACCAATTTTATCCAGCCAGTAGGTTGTTGAGACTGACAGACAACCTCGAGGAAATATAATCACACAGAGTAAACTACTATAGCAAAGTTGTTCAATTGAACACGGATATGCGTTTCGCTATTTCTAGGCAGACTTTATTGCAGTGGAATTTAAGTGATTCATTGTCTGCGGAAGTAGAAAACGGAGAATTCTCCGAGTGAATTGACTTTCAAGTAATTTAACTCCTCGCCGATGCATAAGTCCATCAGAATAATATATAAACCATTTACGGACTTTTACCAATTGGCGCGCAGCATAACTATTTGTGTCAGGCACACATTTTTTGTTCCCAAATGTTTCATAATCCTCTTCCAAAATTCGCAATTACCGAAATACGTAAATACGTGCGTTAAACTTCAGATTAATAAATTCATTAATTTGAGTCAATCAAATTGCGGGTCACGTACATAAATCGTGATCACCCATTCCCGCGTGGTTTGATCTATAAATATACACTCAACGATATTGATCTTGGATATTTTAATGCGGAGACTTTCGCTGACACGCGTTTGAACTCCTTATTTCTCCCGAGATAGCAGTTACATTATACATTCATTGTTTTTCACTAATATTCACTTCAATACCAGAACTATTCCGATGAGGGATCGGAAAAAAAGATTGAGGTTATGGAAATAACACAGATTTGGTTATAAAATTAACTTCATTACATGTACATATCGATTATTCCTATTGATTTGTTAATATATATTTTAACTAGACAAGTGCTCAGTGGGACAGAAGAATACATCTATTACATGACACACTCATAATCAATATTTCAGTCTGCGTAACTAAATATGCCTGTTGAAAAACAAATTATATTAAGCGGTAATTACTTTAATGATGTTTTGATTGCCGTTCAATTTTGATAACATATCATAATAGTTTCGAGTCTTAGAATATCTCATACTAAACAACACGTACGTCATAGATTTGTTTGTCCCGATGGAACTAATAAATTTCCGATTTCGTTAAACCGTCATATCGTAACTGAACCGATACAAAAGTGAATGCGGTAACTGTAGATGATATTGAAGCAGTGTGGCGGTAATCAGTCGTATCTGCCGACAAATATATATTAACTCCAATACCTGGCGCATTAATTCAGTACATTGAATGGTGTGTGTCATGACCCATATGCGAACATTGTGTTTGGTGTTGTCATGGAGACAAATATAACATAATTTCATAACTGCTTCCGATAGGAAACATTGGCATATTCATATTAAAATGCCTTGTAATTTATTAAAGTGTCTGTCTTCCGCTTTTTGAACTCTCCTGTGTTCGCGAAGAAACGATATTTGTGAATATTAGTATCCACATCGATAATGAGGGTGAATTCAGGTTACAATACCGACTCTAAAAGTGAATTATTGTATACGAGGATCACACTTTTAGGTCGTTCACGTTCGACATATTAAGTTAAAGCAAACAATTTTGCCGTCCTTTTGTTTTGTAATTTTGATTTAAGTTTTAGGTGTTTAAGTACGTTTTAAGACAAATTTTAAACCAACAAAAACTGTTTCAATAATAGTTTATGATAAAACATTATTTCCAAAAAATATTATTCGTCAGAATTTTTCAATAATGTTGGACAACCATGAGTACACTTCTTATAAATTTTATAATTGTTACCCAAATTTGTTCACCATAATCATGTAGACGCAAACGATATGTTGAGATAAGAATAAACCTTGTTACATTGGAACCAAATGTTAAATGGCTCAAACTATTTGTATGCAAAATATAGTCCAGCGTTTTTTTTTCAATATTTTGTTAGTATTGATTTTAATCAATGTATATATACTGAGTAGAAATTACTTTTTAATATGAGTACAAGGGTCATGATATTGTATGTATCATTGTATAAATTTATGATAATATTATAATATTAATGTATCTAGCTGGAATAAATCGTTGGTCTCCCGTAAATTCATTACCAACTGTCTAGCTACTGTCTACATACACGTAACGTGAACATTCGAATATTTTACCGCATAAATGTATATTTGGTATATAAAGGTAATTATATTACTTGAATAAGAAATACAAAAATAATTACAAAATTGAACTGCACGTCCCTTTAATAAATCCAGAGCAATAGTGATACCCATGGTCGATATTGAAACTGTGATTTGATATTTCTCGACCAAGAAGAAACTTGATCAACCACTACGCGTAAACGACTTTTTAAGTTTCTGCAATAAACGTCACCTGTCTTGCATCCTGATATTTGTAGGTGACAGACCCGTTGAAACTAAGTACCAATTACCGAAACAAGCCCGAATTCCGTAGGGATGTCCTGTCCATACTTCCATTGGGGTCAGTGATCCAGATCATCGCAAGTAAGTATACAAGGAAATGCAGTGAACACTTAGTTGAAGAGTGGTGGGTGTGGGTTGGTTTCAGTTGTATAATTATACGTGTAATTGTCTCTGCATCAATAATGCAACTTATGTAAGTCGACTCTCTAAAACTAATAACTGCTTTTATCAATTCTCCATCGACGAATACGAGAGACATCTCAGTCTTCCGCTGTCTCTTTCACTCTGAAAATTGATCGATAAAAAGCGCTCACAGCGTATCCAATTTCGAATTGAAATCAACATTGTCATAAGAAGAAACCCGACTAGCAAATGACTGTATCTAATAATACATTTTCGACACGTTTTTTGTTATACTGTCATTCTCACAACTAACTTTTCACTTCCCTGTTTGCGAAGAATATGTGGAAGGAATATATGTTGAACCCAGTTCGGTTCTATATATGTATATATAGTATTGAGTATTGAAATCGTCGTTATATCCGGCGTCTTTCTTAATATCTAGGTATTATTAATTCAGATGTATTAGAAGCCTATGTTGGTGATGGTAAGTTTTCTGCTTTCAGACGGTAAATGAGAACGACGCACTTGGTGTCGGGTAACTCCATTCTCTCGATTATATTAACCATCTTCTCTTCCGCTAATCGGCTTTTATTCGGCAACAGGACCCCAATTTCAGGAATTTATGGCAGGCCGTGAAATAGCGTAATTGGACATTATATCCTGTCGCCTTTCAAAGAACGACCGAGTTTCCTAACTGATATGATGTACGTTTGGTTTAAAGAGGGAGTGAATCACGTTAATGCATGTACATATAGATGCATAGCAAGCCATTGACGAGGTCGAGTATGTGGCGAAATAAAATTAGTCGACTTTGCGATATACAATGTGTTTTCCTCACCATGGCTTTATTATTGAGGTCTCAATATCCACTGCTGCCATGGAAACGTATACAACACAAGGAAATAGTATCATGATTGTTATCACGAGGCTTGTTACATGTTTGCCATGCACGGTCATGTTTATGTTACACGCCGAACCCGTTTTGTATGCTTTACCACGTATATGATTTATTGACACAAGACAAATAATTGAACTCTATTGTACGATAGTGTGAGCGTCACTAACTCAGAACATTCTTTGAAAAAAGTATAATATCGCAAAGTATCGGCAATTGTCAGTTATTCTAGAAAGGTCTATCAAAATGGCAATTTCTTCCAAAATCAAGATGGCGTCGACAACTCGAAACACTGAGTATCTGTTTAATATTGTATTTGCTTTGCCTAATCTAATTTGGAAAAGAGTCGTGTAATTTCAGAATATAGTGGTCCTCTCCTGGTTCTAGTCTTTCTATCAGATGCTTCCATTCCATTCTACTCTGTGCACTTCCATGCAAAATAAATATTTTTTTTTATTTCAATTGCAAAATGTTTCGTAAGATTGTTACTCGATCTGTGTTTGGTTTTCGGAAATTCAAATAGACCTTACTATTAATGCTGCAGCTATATCGTCTTATGTCCTTGGAATTGTCATCAAAAGGAATACAAATAAGTATTTCGAGTAGATTTGATGGTTAATTCTACTTTACGAAGACATCCGTTCACTCTAATATATATTATAAATATTGAGCAATACATCCCTCTTAGTTACACATACACTACTGAAGATGTTTCGTACCAGTGTCAAGGTTGCCGTTGTAAATGGTAAACGTTTTTTTATTTAATCGATTTCAGATAAACTTCCAATCCACGCATCAAGGCTACCTAGATTGCTGAAATTACACACCATGTCTAAGTTCTTTCAAAACACAGACAGGTTGGTATACTCGTTGGATGTCTCTACTATTACTTTAGCGCTTAATTTATTTTCTTGTGATTAATTAAACAATTAACGTTCGCACACGTGCTCACTGAATACAAGATATTTTTTACAGATTGAATTGTACATATAACTGGCACAAAATGAAATACTGCAACGTATTTTTATGTTACACACTTATTATTGTCTCAAAACAGCATTTGAAGGGTTCTCATATCGAACGGAACGCGGCGCCGCGAACCCCGTCCTTTAAGGTGTCACATTTAAACAACTGTATTTGCAACGAAAACTGTTATCCCTTGGAAAATAAATACCTATTCGTATTCTGAAATTAAGTCTAATTAAATTAACTCGGATGTGAATCTCCAGACAAGTCAATATTGACAGGTATACCTCTGTTACGTGCCGCAAGCTAGTATATCGTGTGTCGTTAACCTATTTCATTGATGTAGTTAGATTCAATGACGCAATATCATCGATATATACGTCTAGTCAAATTAGACTTTGCGCCACAAATACGACCGGCGCTGCAAATCAATGGATATTACAGGCGTAACTCCGAGATATTGCAAATAAAGTTTGGACTGGAATTCAATTGAGAAACTTTTATTCCAAGGAGTTGTCAAGAAATTATTTAATTTCATTGATTAATGTCGTTAATGGGGGTCGGCAAAGGGTATTGTCGTAAGCTGTAATCAATTGTTTTTATTTTCGTAATAATGTTATTTAAATAAATAAAAAAGTAAATTCGTAGACATGGAAATAGTGTCAAATGTAATCAGCTACTTCATTCGTCCGTAATTTGTACAAAGATCTTATTAAAGCATTAAATGGTGTAATTCGTACGCAATTTCCAATTTTGAATCATAAACACAAATTAATTAGAAATATGCTTTATCTGTAAAGTGTTAAAACCTAGTTTTTACTGTATATGAAACTTTCATTTTATTTCCTGTAAAAACGTAAAATGCATTTTTTTATTTCTTGTAACCTGTACCAGGTATCCCCCTTGCCCCTTCGTTACTGTACAGCCGACTGTAGTTCTCCCCCCCCCCACCCACAAACAGTGTGGACAGATTTGTAATTTCGAAGAAACAAATTGCACGTCTACTTTGAAAACTAGTCGCTAAAATGTTCCCAGACACGATATGTTCACAATACTTTTCATGAATAGTTTTCAATTTGCCGTTAACGTATTTGAAAAAAAACACACCTTACAAATTGAAATCACGCCGATTTGGATAAAGAGGGTTGAATTGGTTAAAAGCTAGTAGACAATTTCTAACTCATCGTGTCTTTGTGATGAAATGTCTTTCTGATATAGATCAATTGACGGAGTATCAATCGAGAGATTACAACCGACACGATTCGTGTGTTATACAACGGCGCCATGCCAGCTTTGCGCTGTCAAACGTATCTATTTCAATATAAATTCGTGTCTTTATTTCTTTCTTCCCGCAGTCGTACTAATAACCCAAACGCTGTTCGTGCTTTCAAGTTATCACTTTACCTTGGAGTAGTGATTCATTGGATAGGGTGTTTCTACTACATTGCTTCGGAGGTAAGAACTGAGTGGGCGACTGATTTCGCTGACTTACCTGATTCACATGAGGATTTTGAAAATACTTATACGAGTGTGCATGCCTGTGAGACTGTTTTACATTGAAAAAAAAAACTGTGAGTAAAGTTAAAATTTGATAAGCGCGTTTGGTTATGAAGTATCGTAAATGGAATATTGTTTTCCTGGTAGAACCGTTGCCATGTATGAATACAATGTTGAATACAATGATTAGAAAAACATGTAAAAATTACCTTAATACTCTCAGTATCTGCCGATCATATTAACATCATATCGAAGAATAAACACTAATTTAATAAACGATTATATCATTATTTTACCAAATTCCAAACACCTTCCGAAAAGCATGACGCAATAAAAACGAATCCCTGCATCGTTTTTTAAATATCACAATGAATGAATGAATGAATAAATCGAATAGATATTACAACGTAGTTGGTATGCATCAGTATCTTTTCGTATTCACCGATATTGAGGCGGCAGCTTAACTACAATCGCGTTGTATAAATACTATAGATACCGTCCTACTTATATTAATTAACATATTGTCCACTGCGACACTCAAGAATGGCAACGACAATAATCATTTCTTTCTTGATTTCACAGTGAAATATTTTACATTTTTTTGTTCAATGGGTCCTGATTACTAATCCTTGTCCTTATATCGTGTTTCATTACACAGTACGAAGGCTTCGGTAGTAATGATTGGGTGTACCCCGCTGATAAAGGGCACCAGAACTTTCTTAGGTGAGAATGAGTTAAATTAGGATAAATGTTAACTTGAATACGTGAATCCACACGGCTTCATCAGCTACATCCGTGACAAGGAAATAGAATTCGCGAATTCGTGCTGTTGAACTGCTTTCTCTTCAGAGCTAATGCATATGAGTTAACTAATGTCTGTATTGTCTCTTTGCAGCAAATACATTCGCTCGTTTTATTGGTCATTGGTTACCTTGACGACAATAGGCGGGTCCGCCAATCCAGTAACAAACTTAGTAAGTGCGGCTTGACCGGTGATTTAATTCCGTTTATCAACCCTAATTATTTAATATGCATTTGGGTTTTAATACAAAGCAGCATCATAGACTTAGCGTGTTGATTGTAGTTCTTGATGATTACGTTTGCTAAATTGTACTTTTTTTATACCTGACATCGATTATGCTAATTGTTTACGTCACACGCGTAGAATTCTTGTGAGTCGAGGCATATATACAAAAACATAATTTGATACGTTGAAATAAAATGATGCTTTCTGATTGGTTGGACTATTTGATGTTCGGGCTGGGTAACCAATCAGGCACAATCAGTAACTTCGCATTTCTTACAAGCTTTATTATACATCCATTTTACCATATTAGAAAATGCGCATTACAAAATATGGAATGAATACGCGGTATTTCCAAGGTGGTGGACCTTTTGAAAACGATTGGTTAACAAAGATGTATAGTAATAATTTTATTACGAGGATGCCGCGGAGTATTCACGAAGACAGTACGGCGGGAATACCGTACCGACGCGTAGCGGAGGTTGATGCGACTGCGCATGCGCACTGTCTGAGTATTCTCTTTATATACTCAATGACTAACGCGCTCGTTTAATACATCTGAGTCCGGATATTCAACTTTATATTACATATTTGACATCCCAACGTTCAAAAACTAAAAAAAAAAACTATGTCTTTTACCTTATATTTAGGAATACATATTTACGGGAATCACCTTCCTAATAGGAGTCTTCGTATTCGCCGCCGTGGTGGGCAATGTCGGTGACGTCATCAGCAATATGAACGCCGCGAGGGCGGAGTTTCAATCCAGGTATTAGCTATATTTTCTTCTGCCTCTTAATCTGTCCGAGACCAGACGCACTCAGTGACATTGGGTACCGTTATAATTGTGACGGATGCTTATTCAAGGAAATGAATGAATTCCGAGTGCATGACGTTGCATTAAACTCTTATAAAACAAACAGTAATACAAATACATGATAATATGTATATTTTTTTCCCTTCAGAATGGATGCTATTAAATTTTACATGAACCACAGAAAGGTTCCCGAGTATTTACAGAAGAGGGTGAAAAAATGGTCTGACTATTCGTGGCACAGGTAATATTCGCTACGGTGATGAATCGATGCCCTTGGCGCCGTACACTGTGTATAGTTTACTAAGTAGCCTTAAAAGGTGTTGTTAGGAAATTCTATACTGAATTATTCTATTCTGCAGGCAATGTATGATGTACTATTAGACATATAATCTTCTAATAAGACGCTATCATCCCCAGTGCGTGGAGATTTGGAAATCTTCGGATTTCGTATTTACGTAGTATTATAAACAAAGTAAAATAAGACCTCAAGTGGACATTTTAGTAATCCATCGTGAAGGCATACTCATGACTCCATGTTTCTGGATAAGCTGAAATTATTGTCTGATCAAGTCGGACACATACATGGTTTTGTAATTTTCATAGGAAAGTGTTTGTAATATAAATGTGCGCATGGTGTTTATCAGTGTTCCTTCAAGGAGTTATTATTTGTTATCAGAGATTATACATCTTTACAAACGTTCCCATTACCAGAAACATTTATCTTTAGTCGGGTATGGCATGTTGGACAGTCGTATACGTTCACTTGTATATGTTTACATACTTGCAATCTGATTTTGTCTGCGAATTTGCGTACAAATACAAATTAGAGAGTCTTATTTAACACCTAATTTGATGTTATTAAAATAAATCGCATTTAAATGCGTTTCCTTGCGCGCAATGCACACCTCCACGCCGAGTACGCGTGTATATTTTCCTATCACAGTAACTGCAAAGTAGTCGCTGAACGCGGACGGGCTTGATGGCGGTAGTAAATTGTTGCTGTTACTACTCTAGTTAAAAATTATTTAGATATTTATTTTCGAGAATATTCAACTAACAATATGCCTTTACATGATTCGGGTTTTCAAACTGTGATTCCAAACGGGAGAGCACTGTCTCTTAAGCTTTTGCATTTGCGTGGTTTCATATAGTTTCAATTTCTTGTTAGAACGCAGATGATAGACGAATCCAGTCTCCTCGAGATGCTTCCAGAAAGACTTCGAGCAGAAATTGCAATTCATGTTCACCTCGAGACCTTAAAGAAAGTGAGTTTTTTTAGTTGGCATTTAAATGAAATACAACACAGTCATACTAAATTAATATGTCACTTTCAGTTTGACTGGCGGGCAACCGAGTGTTAGATATACGGTTTCCACTTACATCCAAATGACTTACGTCGCCCATTTTGCTTTCAACATTACAGTCACTTATCTTTGTGTCAGCGGAGTAGCGAAGTGACATTATATTAATGTAAAGCGGTCGTGGTAATATTTATCGCATATTGCTTTTGGTGGGAGAGGTGTTCGAAAAAGAGTCCATTTATGGAGGCCTAATTTCAGTACATTATTACAGACACATTGGATTACAAGATTGCGTGATAGCCACTATATATCATTGACATTGACATACACAAATAGAACACGGTTCAAAACAAAAAACACTCAGCGTCCTATATATTATCTGCCAAGATTGAATCTTATTATTATTTTATATTACTAACAGCATAACTAGGCGTTCATTTCCCGAACTCGTTAGTTCGTGTAACAGCCAATGGCCCGTTTACACAGTGGCGGATCCAGTAAAATGTATTGGGGGGTCCAAGCTTCGCCTAAGATATACGGAGCGTAAATCGCAGAGAAGCTATGCGTAATCCAGATGATATGAATCGTCATGCGTTTGGGAGGGGCCATGCTCCCCCCTGGCCCCTTCTGGATCCGCCACTGCGTTTATACTATAAGATTGTCCACACTATTATCGAGATTTTCACAATTATTAAGTAATCATGGTAGTAATTTTCTAAAGCCCGCAGAACTAAGCGATTATTGTGAGTGTACATCATGTAGAAATTTCCAGAACTAAGCCGTTAATGAGAATATCGGTAACTGTGACGTACTGAAGTGCGCATCTGCTCACAGGGCGCATTGCCCTGCTCGTTTATTCGATTTCCCTATCTGTATTTTCGTAATAGTTGTAATGAAGAAAAACGACCCATCATTAATTTATGCGACTATATGATGTATTCAATAAACTGTGTCATGTTTTACCACTTAAATATTCTAGGATTTATTTAATGATAATAATAACGTTCATATATCAGGTGAATATATTCGAAGGATGTGAGCAGGGACTCCTCTGTGAGCTGGTTCTCAAGTTGAAATCTCAGATATACTCCCCCGGTGACTATATTTGCAAAACTGGGGAAATAGGTAAGCAGAGTGTTCTGGTCGTGTACTCTCTTTTTGTTAACCTATGAGTGCGCTGTATATGTCCATCATTTGTTTGTTTGTGGGCGTGTGAGTTTGTTAAACGAATCGAGATGAATGAGCGTTGAGTTTTCAATTAAGATGTCTAGATGACGTTTGATATAACAGCTGGCACATCTGTGAATATTCCTTTTCATTTTTCACCTGGTTTGTGTGTTTCAACATACAAATGCCCAACCCTAGCAGTTTCGTATTGCGAGGTTGTAACCATGTTTTATATAACATTTAATTTAAGTGACATTTTAGGTTTTTCTTATTTTTGATGTATAATATAGTGAAAACTCTTATCACTGTTTAAAGGTATCCGGGCAAGTGTGATTTCCCGTCGCACAAGTCAGCTAGATAAGCTAGATTAAATGTGTGAACATCATATTGTTTACCAATGTTTCCCCAATATGAATGAGTTTTAATTACCCCATAAGGTGTAATTTCATGCTAATTCGAGCTTTTCGAGTCAATCTCAATACAAAATGCCGTGTGCAGTGAACCATAAGATCACTCTGTAGAAATCTCTGATTACTTACTCAAATGCTTCATTGAATATGAAAAACAATTTATTGAAACAAACGAAGAACTACGTTACAAACAGGAATTCTAAATCTCATAGTCAAATAATGTGAGAATTGTTGTTTGTTTCAAATAAATTTAGAGGACTCGCCGTAACACACATGGCAAATGTCATATCGGGAAAACACAGACTTAGCTTCTGGAAACACGAATATGTATGAATTCTGAGTGCGAGTGTGCATAACTGGTAATTCGATAACCCTTTTTATCTGTTATTTCGGTCTCGTGGTGAGTGTCTGCCCCAGTGCTTTCAAAGTCGACGCGTTCTGTTGTATCATTGTTCGAGTTCCCGATTATATGTAATACATTTTTCATTATTATTTGTTCATCTGTCATGTTTCACCAATGGGTGTTTCGTCTTTCATTTTTGATATGTTCTTTGTAATTAATTTCATTTTATTTGTTGCCCAGGTCGTGAAATGTACATAATCAATCATGGAAAAGTAGAGGTACGTTAGCATCAGTTATTCTTGTTTTGCATTTCTTTTAATGACAGTGATGTGCGAGAAGTTTTGTTTTTAGTAAGCCTGTTTTTGTACCTAATGGTTTGTTTAACTATGTAATTGGCAATTAAATTGTATAAGGGACTGAATACGAAGAAAGGCACCGTGTCTTGAATGTTGAGCAGATATGATATCTCGACTCGAGACATTAGTGATGACGATCCACATCGATGCGTTTCGTGCAAATCAATTACTGCAACCTAGTTTGTGTAGTAGCAACGTAATCACCGCTTGTAGTCACTTGAAATGAAAATGTGAAATGGGTAGATCTCGTCTTGATTAAATGGCGGTCACGCTTTCCTATTTTATTAGTCTGTTCTTGACATTTATACAACAAATTGTATGATAATGGGTAATATATGAATTATTTATTCACTGGACAAATTATACAGTCTTCCACTTTCAACCGCGATCTTTTTCGAGTATATTCGAAGCGTCATCAGAACCGCGCATGCGCATAGGGAAGTCTCACACAAACAGCCAATGCTTACGTATTTATAGCAGACAGTTTACACAGATAGTTGCAATTCTGATGACATTGCTGTTTGGAGAATACCGTAAAAGGTTTTCCACTTTCTAATACTTCAAAGATCGTGTTGACCATTTTTTTTATCTCGAAAAATGTATGTAAAATGAATCTTAGATTGACACGAGAAATAAAGCTTTATATATTACGCGCATAAAAAATACATTTCATTTTTTTGGTGAGCGGCATTCTTTTGACAGCCGACACACGTGATATTGCCTTTAAAAACATATTTATGAAAAAATGTGATAAAGCAGGATATGACTGCAAATATTGTTTGCTCAATAGAGTCACTGGAAGTGGTGCAAACAATATATAACAGACACGTAGTAGTTTCCGGTCTTTCTTTCGTATTCACTGTTCTATTGCAAGCTAACAAACTTGAAGTCAGCGGCGGTTTTCTTTTATATTACTCACTCATTCTCGTATCAGAACCATCGAAGTGTTCAGAAATCTTTGCGACATGTTTATGACCTGACTGCTATACTGATAAAGAGATCATTGTCTTACAAAATAAAAAGAACAAAAATGTAATACTGAACACGCGGCAGCGGTTCTAAACGGTTCTGACTATGTACATCTGAATTCCTATACATTTAAGATTTCAGAATATATACTTATACATAATGTATTAATTATAAACGGATTAATAATATATGTTCTCCTGTCAATTTCTTTAATTTCATTTATTGTTCATTTCTACAGAACTCTATAATGTTCCACGTAGTATTATAAAGTAATTACAGTTTAATTGACGTGAATGAATGAAGTTAATTAAAATGTAAAAAAAAAACACAGAATATTTGCAATTTATTATTAAAAGAAGCAATTTACACTGCTGGTACCGTTAGTATGTTGACTGTTTAGAACGTGTCACTGTAGTATTATGGCATACGCAATTGTGTGGTAACACACCTTTGCCGGAAATATATTTCCTGCCTTATATTTCATATTTACTGGATTTCTTTCAGGTAGTAATCACGGAGGAATCTACCGGGAGCAGGATGGTGATTGCTACAATGTCTGAAGGCAATTACTTTGGGGAGATAAGTCTGTTGAAGCTTGACGCGGGATGCAATAAGTACGCACAATTAATTTCATTTCATTTCACAACTAATGTTTTATTCCAAGGCCTGCATGTCGATACAGTTAATGGCCCCTGAATCTATCTCAGAATTAATATATATGTTACGGCTTTGGTAATTGAATGTCCGTCGAGCGACCATAACTTTTAATGACGACACAAATCATGCATTCGACATGAGCATTGACATATGCTATACCGACATGAAATGTGTCTGCTTTGTTCATGCCATGCTTCCAAACAAACGCATGTTTATATTCGATATCAACTCAGACTGGTTTGACACTCACACACTGTATGATTCAATTTACATTCATTATAGTTGGATCGTTATTGGCAATTCATGTATTTTCAGCAAAGTGTTCATAGGCTGCAATACATGTGTCCTAGTAATCAATAAAACACACTTTTCACGCTCTACCAACTTGCAGAATTCAAGGAAGTGTAATTAAAGTGAGGCAAATGCAACGAGGGAATTGACACCAATTCATACTGAAATGTAGTATTGGCGTTAATAGTAATTCACTGTTACAACCCAATGAATTTTTTAGACACTCATAGAGGACCCCTAGATTGACACATCCAAGATTCTGCATTGTACGGTTGAATGTAATTCGATGAAACATAATACTAGTTGTCAATATGCGATAACTGAACGTCACGTGGGAATACATCATCAGGTATTAATGTACTGGGTGTACGCCATTATAGATGTATTTGCAGTCCGTACAACAACCTCAAACAAATTGCATATTGAAAGTATGGTAGGTGGACGCTGTTCTCATAATAACCCGCCACTTATCCAACTCTATACGGGTTATAGCCCAGCATACAGGGATTACCAGTACCCAGTAATGCGTCGAGTTTCTGGTATTTTAAGGGATGCGGAACATTGAGTTCGAACCCACACTTGCTTGTTTATCTTTAATTATTACTTGGTCAAAGTTTCATGTACGATGTTACGTTGTCTATGTAAGATTCGTAGGATATTCATGCGAACAAAAACGATTTGAATTGGTCCTAGTTGTGACAATAATGAAGACACGAGTCAAACTCGGAGGTGTATATAAAATCCTGCAATAGATAATATCTGATTGGTCGA